GCATCTCGCTCTGGCTTCTTTTGATTTTGTGGCCACGCACCCAGTGTCGCCTGCTCCCTGACAAGTTCTGCTTCGTGGAATTTGGCATCGAGAGTTCCCAAGCATGGATGCGCCCTGGGGGATCTGGCCATTCTCTGTGGGGGACCAGTGGCCATTTTTGTGTTCACCTATAATATTTATTTTTTAATGTTTTTATTTTTGAGAGGGAGCGTGAGCAGGGGAGGGGCAGAGGATCTGAAGCGGGCTCTGCGCTGACAGCACTGAGCCCGACGCGGGGCTCGAACCCATGAACTGTGAGATGATGACCAGAGCTGAAGTCTGATGCTCAACTGACCGAGTCCCCCAGGCGCCCCATATTTTCACCTGCAATATTTCAAGCAATTGCTGCAATATTCTAACCCCATGCTTTCTACATTTCCTAATTTTCTTTAAAAAAATTTTTTTTAATGCTCATTTATTTTTGAGAGAGAGGCAGAACCTGAATGGGGCAGGGGCAGAGAGAGAGGGAGACAGAATCCAAAGCAGGCTCCAGGCTCCGAGCTGTCAACACAGAGCCCGACTCGGGGCTCAAACTCTCGAACCACAAGATCATGACGTGAGCCACAGTCAGAGGCTTAACTGACTGAGCCACCCGGGCGCACCAAGATTTCCTCATTTTCACTTTCAAAATTTTCTAGGACTCCTCCTTCAAAGCATATACGATTGGCATTAAATTATTAAACTACAAAAGTGGTCATTCATGACGCTTCAAGCCTTACAGGGCTTGAAGCACCGGCTGTTCAGAGAAACCGCCTCCGGGGCTTTCGTTGTGCCCTCTAGGATTGATATCAGAATTTTTTTTTTTTTTTAATTTTAAGTTTATTTATTTTGAGGGGGGTGGGAGGGACAGAGAGAAGGAGGGACAGAATCCCAATCAGGCTCCGTGCCATTGGGGCAGAGCCCGACGCGGGTCTCCGACTCACGAACCACAAGATCCTGACCTGAGCTGAGATCTTCTGCTTTATGCTACGATGCTTTATGCTAAGTGAAATCAGCCAGTCAGAGAAAGACGAATATCATGGGACTTCACCGATATGTGGAATTTAAGATACAAGACGGATGAACATAAGGGAAGGGAAGCAAAAGTAATAGAAAAACAGGGAGGGGGACAAAACATAAGAGACTCTTAAATACGGAGAAAAAACTGAGGGTTGCTGGAGGGGCTGGGGGGGGGGGCTAAATGGGGGAGGGGCATTGAGGAGGGCACCTGTTGGGACGGGCACTGGGTGGTATACGTAGGGGATGAGTCACAGGAATCTAGTCCTGAAATCGTTATTGCGCTCTATGCTAACTTGGATGTAAGTTAAAAAAAACACAAAAAGGTCCGATGCTTCACCAACTGAGCCACCCAGGCGTCTGAACAATTTTCATTTAAATCCCAATTCGGGATCTGCACCAGTTACGCCTGCGTCCATCCGGGTACCTGCTGAGCCACGCCTCGTGATCTGGTTACAGTTCCTTTCTTGCACAACTGCTGTTTCTTCTGAAGTTAATAATTATCTCGCTTAAAAATTTTCTTCGTGTTCTTTGAACCTGTTACGAAATCATCCTTGACTGGAAAGAGCCCGGATATAATTTTCTGCACGCGGGACAGGTCACATAACCAGTGTCTGGGTTTTCCTAGAGCCATGTGGGTGAACCCAAGATTTATGGGGCCTGAAGCATACACAGTTTTGAGGAGCCTTCCTTAAAAAAATAACATCATGATGGGGCGCCTGGGTGGTGCAGTCGGTTGAGCGTCCGACTTCAGCCAGGTCACGATCTCGCGGTCGGTGAGTTCGAGCCCCGCGTCAGGCTCTGGGCTGATGGCTCAGAGCCTGGAGCCTGTTTCCCATTCTGTGTCTCCCTCTCTCTCTGCCCCTCCCCCGTTCATGCTCTGTCTCTGTCCCAAAAATAAATAAATGTTGAAAAAAAATTAAAAAAAAAATAATAATAACATCATGAGGGGCGCCTGGGTGGCCCAGTCGGTTAAGCATCTGACTCTTGAGATCGGCTCAGGCCGTGATCTCAAGGTTTGTGAGATCGAGCCCCAAATCGGGCTCTGTGCTGACAGCGTGGAGCCTGCTTGGGATTCTCTCTCCCTCTCTCTCTGCCCCTCCCCTGCTCTCACACACTCTCTCATTCTGTTTCTATCAAAATAAATAAAACTTAAAAAAAAGAACATTATGAATATTTACTTGTTAGAAGCCTCCTCCCCACAACTCTAAAAAGCTGAAAGCTACCATAAACACCACAAAATCCTGAAAAAGGATATGATATTTGTAATAAAATTCCCAACTTACCTCTAAAATTCATTTTCCTAGGGGCGCCTGGGTGGCTCCGTCGGTTAAGCGTCCGACTTCGGCTCAGGTCATGATCTCACGATGTGTGAGATCGAGCCCCGCTCTCTCTCAAAATAAATAAATAAGCTTTTACAAACAAATGAAAATAAAAACTATTAAAAAAAATAAAATTCATTTTCCCTACACTTTTTCCCCCCTGAGTACTCACTGTGTACTCGTACGCATGGCAAAGACGTGGCAAGGTGTCTTTCCACAAGGAGAAGGGACAGACAGGTTGTTGTGGTTTACTCTTTATCACCGATGTCAAGAGCTTCAGGGCGCATTTCGTGTCCCACCTGTGTCTCCCCCCTGGCGCGTCTGCACAGCCCGTGGCTGAAGGACCCCTGAAAGCCACACAGATCCACGATGTGACTGCAAACCACGTGCCCGTGGCCGTCCCACTCAAGTCAAATGTATTTCCAGCCTAATTCTTTTTTTTTCAATGTTTATTTATTTTGAGAGAGAGAAAGAGAGAGAGAGAGCCGGCAGGGAAGGGGCAGTGAGAGAGAGAATCCCAGGCAGGTTCCGCACTCACTGTGGAGTCTCATGTGTGGCTCAATCCCACCACCCTGGGATCGTGACCTGACCGGAAATCAAGAGTCGGATGCTTCGCCTGAACCACCCAGGCGTCCCCAGCCCCCTGGCACAGAGGACAGTGTGAAAAGGGGGAAGTGGCAGGGGAGAGAGACACTGGTCATCCTCACTGATTGTAGTGAGAATAACTTCTGTTTGCACAACTTACAAAAGTCTCCGATCCTGGGAAGACGTTGCTGGGGCCACTGGGGGCCCTCGTAAGGGGACTGGTGGGGTCCTGGAGCTCAGGGCGCCGGAGGCTCCTTGTCAGTCTGCTCTGTGCCTCCCGGGGCCGCCTGCCCGCCCGCCAGGCTGGGGGCCTCGGTGTCACTGGATCTGGGGCAGTGCAGTCGCCTTGGGACGTCCTGCTGTCCTGCTTGTCCGGCGAGTTTTCTGGGCGAGAGAGAGAGAGAGAGAGAGAGAATCTTAAGCAAGCTCCATGCTAGCACAGAGCCTGACAAGGAGATCGATCCCATGACCCTGGGATCATGACCCAGGCCGAAACCAAGAACTAAATGCTCAACCGACTGAGCCACCCAGGCGCTCCTGAGTCCATTGAGATTTCTTAAAAAAAAAAAAAAAAAAGTATCAACCTTGGCTCATCAGTTGCATCAAAGGTACCTTTGTATCAAAGGGAAGGTGAAAAAAAAGTAAGAGAAGAATAAAAAGAAAATTTTTCTGTTCTCTTGTGTTGTTGGAAGGACTCACTGGAGGGGAGAGGAAGTCTGAGTGGAGTGCACGGTTGTGAGCAGAACATTTGATAAAGTAAAACTGTCTTTCTGAGAGATGAACAAAACAGTGGGAGCCAACTGCTTCCTATAATAATAATACGTAAAAATGAAAGTAGCTTCCACTGTGCTTTTAGAAATAATTTTGTCACAGCAATCTATCAAAGGAAGACCTTAATCCATGCCAAAAGGAGACATGCTTTTAAATACTTACTCTTGGATTTTATTTATTTATTTATTTATTTATTTAAATTTTTTTTTTCAACGTTTATTTATTTTTGGGACAGAGAGAGACAGACATGAACGGGGCAGGGGCAGAGAGAGAGAGGGAGACACAGAATCGGAAACAGGCTCCAGGCTCCGAGCCATCAGCCCAGAGTCTGACGCGGGGCTCAAACTCACGGACCGCGAGATCGTGACCTGGCTGAAGTCGGACGCTCAACCGACTGCGCCACCCAGGCACCCCTGGATTTTATTTTTTAAAGTAATTTCTGTGCCCGACGTGGGGCTCGAACTCACGAACTGTGAGCTCGTGACCGAGCTGAAGTTGGACGCTGAACCGACTGAGCCCCCCCAGGCGCCCCGTATATCACTGTGCTTTTACTTTGCATTTCGCTGATGGCCAAAGGTACATCACCCTTCTCCTGTGCTTGTTTTCTATGTGTATGTCCTCTTTGGAGAAACGTCTCTGTGTTTTTTGCCCATTTTCTAATTGGTTTATTCTACTGTTGGATCTTGAGAATGCTTTAAAAAAATTTTTTTTTTTTTTGCAGGGGGCGCCTGGGTAGCTCAGTCAGCTAAGTGCCCGACTCTGGATTTTGGCTTGGGTCACGATTTCGTGATTTGTGGGTTCGAGCCCCACGTGGGGCTCTGCGCTGATAGCAGGGAGCCTGCTTGGGATTCTTTCTCTCTCCATCTCTCTCTCTGCCCTTCCCCCACTTGCGTTTTCTCTCTCTCTCGCTCTCAAAATAAATCAGCATTAAAGAAAAGGTTTTTTGAGGGAGAGAGGATCCCAAGCAGGCTCCACACTCAGCATGAAGCCCGATGTGGGGCTCGAACTCACAACCAAGAAAGACATCATGACCTCAGCCAAAATCAAAGGGTTGGACCCTTAACCGACTGAGCCACCCAGATGCCCCAAGAATTCTTTTTTGCATATACAGTGTACATATCCGTGTGTAATTATAGTTGAGTGAATTTACTTGAAGAGCTTGGACGGTATTTGGGGGGGATTGAATAATTTCTTTCAGCCCAGTCTATCTGAGCACCTTCTGAGGGCAAAGCGATACATGAGCACGGCGGTGTGAAACGTTAAAGCCTACGTTAGTCATCTCTCCCCCGAGTGGGGCTTGGAAGATTCTTCCATATTCTAGACACTCGTCTTCTGTTTGGTATGTGGCCTGCGAGTATTTTCTCCAAGCCTGTAGTCTGTCTTTCTACCCTCTTAGCAAAAATCTGTTTACAAAAACTCTCATGTGATCAATCAAATCTTGGCAAAGCCCGACTCAGGAAGTGAGAAGAGTGACAGGGCCACATGAGAGAGATTAAACGACACTTTTCCTGTTTTTATAGAAGTTTGGCTGGATTCCCAAAGCCGAGAACGATTGCGGATAATGGCCGTGCCTTTAAAACCTAGGGGAGCTGGACGCACGCAGGCAGGATTTACCAAGAGGTGCCAAAATAGTCCACCACCATCCCTCCCTGCCTCTGTAAGAGGGGACGAGGGAGTTGAGGAGTTCATTTCAAGGGCATTCTTAGATGTGGCAAGAGATTCAAGTCTTTTTTTTTTTTTTTCTCCATATGGAGGAAGGGGATGCTTCCCTGCAACCCACTGGCCAGATGCTGGAGTCCAAAGGGAACCACAGTAGAGATGGGAGTGTCTGCGAAGGGGGGACGACAGGCATGTCACTACCGGGCCAGAGGGTAGGTAAGCCACAGACGCTGTGGGGACGGCCGTGGACTGCTATTTGACAGGGGCAAGAAGAACTTTAGGGGCGGCCGTGGATGTGTCTTCAGGATTTTTGAGGGCACTCGTGGAGGAAGAGACTTGTCCTTGACAGGAGACGTCTGAAGGCAGAGAACCGGGGCTAAAGCTGCCCTCTGCATCAGTGGGTCCTGCCACACTTGGTCATCTGTCAGGGTGAGAATGTCATGGAAAATGTGAGCCTGGCGGACCCCAGGGATGCCAGCCTGAGCCATCCAGGAAGGACCCTGCCCAAGAGCACTTTGTCACAGAGTGAGGCTGAAGGAGACCATGCGTGTATGGCTGGAATCTAGGGTAGTTGGCCACTGGGGCAAGAGCTGATGGTGGCTATTGGGCAAGAGCCAATGGTGGCCACTGGGGCAAGAGCCAATGGTGGCCATTGGGGCAAGAGCCGATGGTGGCCATTGGGGCAGGAGCTGATGGTGGCCATTGGGCAAGAGCCAATGGTGGCCATTGGGGCAAGAGCCGATGGTGGCCATTGGGGCAGGAGCTGATGGTGGCCATTGGGCAAGAGCCGATGGTGGCCACTGGGGCAAGAGCCAATGGTGGCCACTGGGGCAAGAGCCGATGGTGGCCGTTGGGGCAGGAGCTGATGGTGGCCATTGGGCAAGAGCCAATGGTGGCCACTGGGGCAAGAGCCAATGGTGGCCATCAGGGCAAGAGCCGATGGTAGCCATCAGAGGGTAGCCAGAGAATTCGTCGTCCTCGGGAGGGGCTCCTATGGTGCAGAGGGTCCCATAAGAGTCTCAGAGACACCACCAACAGATCCCACGGAAGGCCAGTGTTGGAGGCCTGCTGTGAAGAGCGTCCTGACCACCAGCCACAACGGCACCAGATCGCGGGCCTCTTCCTTGAATTCCTCCCTCCTTCGCCCAACCCTTGACGCTCAGTGAGGAGAAGAGGAAAGAAAGGGGAAGGAGGAACAGAACAGCCCATGACTCCTGTCCTAGATTCTCCAGTGGCAGGTCCTGTGATAAGGATCTTTATGAAAGTGATTTATGAGAAAGTGTTCCCAGGAAAACAGATAGGGGGATGGGGGTGCAGGAGGAGGAGGGGGAGGAAGTTATGCAAGGGTGTACCAGACACTGAGATTCTTTGGAAAGTGACTCGTTAGGAAGTGTGACTAGGTGATCTTGAGCACAGTCCCAACAACGGGTCCTGTCCCGGCACAGCTTTCCCCAGTCAGGAACAAGGGACCCGGAGCACTAATAGTCTTGCACCCAACGGCCATTGGTTTGGGTTCTGCCTGGGGTTGGCAAGAATGGGAATCCCAAGGTACATCCCGCCGTGGGTTCCGAAACTGTGTTCGGGCAGCTTGAGGGCAGGCTTCTGACCAAGAGACACAGGTGCCGGCCATGAAGAATGAGAGGGAAGGGATCCGGAAGGGATCCGAGCAAAGCCTCGGCAATGTCTGCTGGAGCCCCGCGCCTGCGGGTCCCGAGTCGGGCTGCGTGAGGCTTCGCTTTGGGCTGGGCTGGGCTTCCGTGGCCTGGAGTTAAGACTGGTCTTAGAGCTGAATGTAAAGGAAGGATAAATCCAGGAGAGTCTATCTGATAACAATGAAATGAGGTCTTGGTGTAGATGCCCTTTTACAGGTTGAGGAAACTCCTTTCTATCTCATTTGCTGCTAGTTTTTTTTGTTTGTTTGTTAAAATTTTTTTTTAATGCTTATTTATTTTTGAGAGAGAGAGAGAGAGAGAGAGAGAGAGAGACAGAACATGAGCAGGGGAAGGGGAGAGAGAGAGAGAGGGAGACACAGAATCCGAAACAGGCTCTAGGCTCTGAGCTGTCGGCACAGAGCCCGACACGGGGCTCGAACCCACGAACCTTGAGATCATGACCTGAGCCAAAGCTGGACGCTTAACCACTGAGCCACCCAGGCGCCCCTGATCTGTTGTATTTTCATTGCAGTTCAGTTTAAAATCGTTTCTAATTTTTCTTGAGACTTTCTCTTTGACCCATGGATTATTGAGAAATGTGTTGCATAATTTTGGGGGTTGGGAGATTTTTATAATTATCTTTTTTGGTTTTCCATCTAATTGTTTTCTGGCTTAATTCCATTATTATCGAGGACAGATGTAAAATTTCAATTTGCTTACATGTGTTATAAAGTTTGTTGTGCGACACGGTCTGTCTTGGGGGCAGTCCCACGTGCACTTGAACGATGCGTCTTCTGCCACTGTTGAGTGGGGCGGTCTATAAATGCCCATTAGGCCAATTACAGAAACACATATTGTGGTTTGACCTGAATGCCAACACTGTGGGGGCGGGGGGGAGGGGGTAGGATAAAATAACGTTAGCGTTCACATAGAAGAATAAAAGCCTAAGTATATATAAGGTTTTATGGTTAAAAAACTGTGGGGGCGCCTGGGTGGCTCAGTCGGTTAAGCGGCCGCCTTCGGCTCAGGTCATGAACTCACGGTCCGTGAGTTCGAGCCCCGCGTCAAGCTCTGTGCTGACAGCTCAGAGCCTGGAACCCGCTTCGGATTCTGTGTCTCCCTCTCTCTCTGCCACCCCCTGCTCGTACTCTGTCTCTGTCTCTCTCTCAAAAATAAACATTAAAAAAAAAAAAAACTTTAAGTAAATACAAGAGCTTCTGACAGTTTCTGAACCTCAGCAAGACAAAACTTTGTTTCTCCCAAGCCAGTAGTCAGTTAAGCCATCGCTGAAACAACAGAGAAGGTATTTGTTTCTTGAACATCACATTGGCGAGAACTGACAGGTTTGTAGGTGAAGGTGTGGATAAATGAATATCCCTCTACACAGTAGGGAGAAGGTGGACTGATAACGACGTTTCTGCCCGTTTTGCTTCTAGAAATCTAGCCAAGAAGCAGTCTTCGCTTCTTAGCACCAACAGGCATTACGAGCCTGTTCACTTCAGCATCGTTAATCCAGTTGAAGGATCCGCAGCTCAAAAAGGCATCACCAGGGGAGTCATTTAACGGGCCGTTAAACAGAAGGACGTGGTGTGCGAAAACCCTCAAGACCCATTTTTCTTCTAAGTTCCAGTCTTTCTCTCTCTCTCTCTCCCCTCTCTTTTTTAAAAGTTTATGTCTTTGGATGGGGCGCCTGGGTGGCTCAGTAGGTTAAGCATCCGACTTCAGCTCAGGTCACGATCTCGCGGTCCATGAGTTCGAGCCCCGCGTCGGGCTCTGGGCTGATGATGGCTCGGAGCCTGGAGCCTGCTTCCGATTCTGTGTCTCCCCGTCTCTCTGCTCCTCCCCCGTTCATGCTCTGTCTCTCTGTGTCTCAAAAATAAATAAACGTTAAAAAAAAAAATAAAGAAATCCTGGCCAGCTGAGGTGCTGGGAGAGGCAGCAGGGAGAAAGCGGTGGAAGACGGAAGCTATGATGCTCAAGAAGGCAGAAGCCTCCGAAGGCCTCAGAGGCAGAAGCATTTAGGAAAGAAAAGAGGGCAACTTGCCAAGGAGTCAGGAAGGGATCGGCCTTTGGGAGGACGGGCTCACGGAACAGAACCTCGGGAGGGATTGGGAGGAAAGCCGCACCGTCATCAGTGTTAACAAGCTTCTAACCTGCTCATGATGACAACACAGCACTGTTCCCACACGATGAACGCAGTTGCAAAAGGTCATCACTTATCTTTAGGCGTCGGCTTTGCAAAAGTCAGGGATAAAGCGGTTTTTCCTCAGGACTCAGCAGTTTATGGGAAATGCTCTAAGTGTACTTTATTTTGGGGCCTGGAAGGAGAACTACTTTTGTGTGTGTGTGTGTGTGTGAAACCCACACGAAATTTATCAGCAGAATCCTGTTAACTCTACCTTCGCAGCCTATCCAGGATCAGAACCCTTCTCACCGCCTCCGAGCACAGCGCGCCGTTTCCGCCCTTGTCTCGTTTCGTGGGATTCACAACACAGGTGTCACACGTGCGAGTTCACATACAAGTCGGGTCACTCCCTCCTCTGCTCCGACCCCTCCAAAGTCTGCCCCTCCAACCTGGAGTAAAAACAAACGCTTAACAATAGCCTAAGTGCCCTAATGAATTGGCGGCCTCCCTTCTCCCTCTGTGACTCATCTACTCCTCTCTAGCTCATGTCTCCATAAAAAGTCTGGCGAATGGAGAATCCTTGTACACCCTAGACATTCTTCCACCCTTTGCTCCTGCTGTGCCTTCCGTTTGGAGCCCTGTTCCTCCTGGGGCTCCTCATAAGTTGCTCCCTCACCTCCTGGAGACCATTGCTCATATATCACCTTCCCAGTAAGGCCTTTCTTGACACCCTACTCTTGATGGCCTTAATAAAACTTGACCCTGGGGCGCCTGGGTGGCGCAGTCGGTTAAGTGTCCGACTTCAGCCAGGTCACGATCTCGGGGTCCGTGAGTTCGAGCCCCGCGTCAGGCTCTGGGCTGATGGCTCAGAGCCTGGAGCCTGCTTCGGATTCTGTGTCTCCCTCTCTCTCTGCCCCTCCCCCGTTCATGCTCTGTCTCTCTCTGTCCCAAAAATAAATAAACGTTGAAAAAAAAATTTTTTTTGGAAAAAAAATAAAAATTGACCCTATCTCGGGGCGCCTGGGTGGCTCAGTCGATTAAGTGTCCGACTTCGGCTCAGGTCGCGATCTCACGGTCTGTGAGTTCAAGCCGGGAGTAGGGCTCTGTGCCGACAGCTCGGAGCCCGGAGCCTGCTTCGGATTCTGTGTCTCCCTGTCTCTCTGCCCCTCCCCCACTTGCGTGCGCGCTCTCTCTCTCTCTCAAAAATAAATAAACATTAGGCAAATAAAGAGAAAGAAAAGAGAAAGAAAAGACCGTGAGTGTGAATTCACACCGTGTGTGGCAATGAGATTTACAGGTGATGGGATTCAATCCACTTCCGTTTCCTGAAGATGGCCAGGCCAGGGTGGTCTGAATTCTGGTTCCTTGCACTCAGCACACCCATGAACTTGGGAAGCCCACGGCCCGGCTCTGAGCCTCAGTCCGCCATCCAAAGCTCCTCCCCAAGATTCTTGTGGGATCGGAACGGTTAACGTCTGGCACGCCTCTGGCACAATCCCCTGTTACAGATTCGATGCTCGGTAAAATTTCCCTTTCCTGCCTCCTTCCTCCCTTTGCAGTCAGGAAACCCCACTCTGCCGTGTCTTCTTCCCTCCGGGGGGGGGGGGGGTGGGTGGGGCGCCCCAGGGGAAGCTCATGTGCCAGGACTTGGTGAGATTGAGCAAGACCAGAGATGCGCTCCTCTGGACCCAGCTGCGCACTGATGGGGACGGGTTCTGGGAACTTTAGATGAAGGAAGCGAAAGGGGGCGTGGGCAAGGAGAACCGCCACACTGGCCTCTGGACCTTCTGGTCTGGCTCCCCTCTCCCAAATGGTAAAAATGAGGAAGTCAGGGGGGCTTAAGAGGAGGGGACAGGGAGTAGATACACCCCAGAGGAGGAGAGCGGACCTGCCCCGTATCCAGCCCCTTCCTCGCGCAAGCCCTCCGATCCCTTCCCCACTCCAGTCGGGGAACCGGGAGATCCCAGCTTAGAGCCTCCTGGGCTTTGGCACACAGACACCGGCAGGACTCTGGTCGCGTAGGTGACCCCCACTCGGGATCTCCAGGATTTCGTGTTTTCCAACCCTGGGCATTGCTGCGCAAGGAGTTCCAGACGCAGGTAACCAGCCTGGCACTTAGGGGAGACCAAGAAATGGTAAGGGACAGCTTGGGGATTCAGTGGCCGAGGGGAGGTTTTACACTCTATTCCCTTCCCTGGGTTGGGCTTGAAATATGGGGGGGCCGAGCCTCAGGCAGACTCAACCCCGTTCCAGCCCCCACCCCACCGCGGCCCTAACCGCGGTACTAACCCCAGCTTCCCCTTAACCCCAGCCCCGGCTTGGACCTCAGAATCAACTGGAATCTTAACACCAGCCCCTTCCCAAAGTTGACCCCGACTCTGTTTCCAGCTTCAGCACCAGGCGTAGGCTCAGCCACATCCCCGACCCCAGCCGGCAGGACGTGCCCCTCGGTGCCAGCCCGGTGTTGGCCCCGGTCCCGGCCAGTACTGCATTTAGCTCCTACTTTGCCTCCTTCCATCCCCAGCTCAACGCAACCCCGCCCGACCCCCAGTCCCGACCCCCACGTCCAACCTCGCCCACAAACCCAGAACCAGGCCCAAGCCTCTCTCCGACCCTGGGCGCGCCCTCAACCTGAGTTCACCTCTTCCTTGGACTCTGGGCCTGACCTGGGCTCCCACCGAGTCCCAGCCTCCCCGCTTCGCCCCAGCTCCTGCCTCAACCTGGCCCCCTGGCCCTGCTTCCCTTTCAGCCCCGGTAGCCCCAGCGTTGGTCCAAACATGTCTATGCAGTATGAAAATTTCCAGCATTCGGAGACAGAGAAGCAAAGCCAGGGGTCTAGAAACGGTGAGAGGGATGGGGAAATGTTCCCTCCTTCGATACACTCTTCAGGGGTAGAGGGTTTCTGCTGTCATACCTGCACCCCTACCGTGTGTGGGCTGCAGGGGGGCCCCCATCCCGAGGGGGTCCGGTCCCAGCCTCTGGGGACCCCAGTGTGAAGACAGGGACACAGAGGGCCACAGGGGGCCCGGATCCCTCTGCTCTGGAGGAGGCCGTGAGGGTTAGCATCAAGGGAAGAGTATTTGGGTTCAGAAGGAAACCCACCTGTGAGCCTGGCGGGGCTCCAGCTCTCTCTGGGTCCTTCTGCCCCTCCCCCAACTCTGATACCGCCTTGCCCATCACCGTCCCCCTCCATCTGTGGGTCCTTGTGTCCGTGCGTCCCCACGGAGGCGCGAGGGGCCCAGGTGACTGAGGGCTTGGGCTGGTCCCTGAGGGGTCAGAGGCCTGGGCGCACCCCGCCCCACATGTCCTGCCTCGGCCTCCCAGCATTACCCGCGACAGCCCTCATCCCTGACTGGTCCCTGGGCCCTCTCCTCCTCCCTGTCCCGCCCTGACGCCCTCTCCCCTCGCAGGGCCGCCTCCGCCTCTCCACCACCTGCAGGGGCTCTGCTCTAGCCCCCGGCCCTTCCTGCTCTCCCTGGGCATCAGCCTCCTCCTGCTGGTTGGCATCTGTGTGATCGGATCCCAGAGTGAGGGGAGCGGCGTGGGCAGGGAGGAGAGAGCTCACAGGGGTGGGGGTGGGGTGGCGGCGGGTAGGGTGGCCGCTGGCTCTGTCACTTGGTGCGGTTGGCTGAGTAGCCCAGTGGCCTAACCCCTCCAGACCGGGACACCGGATAAGGATAGGGCCCGTCCCTCTGGGTTGGGTCATGTGAGGAGACCGCAGGACAATGCGCGCGGTGAGCCTGCTGGCTGCCGGCTCACAGAGGGCCTGATAAATCCCAGCATGCTTTGTCCCCTCCCCATCAGATTCCAAGTGTCAGAGGGACCTGGTGACCCTGGGAGCCACTTTCAGCAACTTCACCTCAAGCACTGTGGCCGAGCTCCAGGCCCTGAATGCCCAGGGTGAGCCTGGCACACGGAAGGGGCTCCATGGGGGCGGGGGTGGGGGTGGGGGTGGGGGTCCCGAGCACCGAGTCTCCCCCCCCACCCCACGTGTCCTCCAGGCGGCAGTTTGCAAGAAACGACAACGTCTCTGAAAGCCGAGGTGGAAAATCACAAGCGGGAGCTGCAAGCAGGTGAGAAGCCGCGGCCCCCCCGGGGGGAGGGGTGGGGGTGGGGGTGGGGGTGGGGGGAGCGGCCTCGGTGCTGACCCCCCGCCCTGCAGCCCGCAGCCTGAACGACAAGGTGTTCGCCCTGGAGAGCAAGCTGGAGAAGGACCAGCGGCAGCTGCGAGCAGGTGGGGGCCCTGTCCCCGTCACCGGGGCGTGGCGCGCACGCGGGACAGGGCGCAGAGGTCCCTAGGCTGGCCCCCGCGGGGACGCCTGGCTTCCGGGGGCTCGCTGAGCCCCCCCCCCCCAGGCGCTGCCCCCGCTGCCCACCTGTGTGTGTGTCCCAGATCATTCCGATACCCTCGCTCGAGTCCAGCAGCTGGCCGAGGACCTGAGGACCCTGACCTGCCAGGTGGCCGCTCTCAAGAGCAACGGTGAGGGGCGTGGGGGTGCTGCGCCCCATTTCCCGCTCGTCCCCCCACCCCCACCCCTGGGTGGCATCTCAGAACCTCCCCGCCCCTCAGGCTCTCAAAGTACCTGCTGCCCGGTCAACTGGCTGGAGTTCGAGGGCAGCTGCTACTGGTTCTCGCGCTCCGGGAAGACCTGGCCGGAGGCCGAGAAGCACTGCCGGCTGGAGAACGCGCACCTGGTGGTCGTCAACTCCAGGGAGGAGCAGGTGAGCGCCTCAGTGCCGGGGTCCCCTTGAGGGCAGCGGTTCTCAACCTCGGCCGGGCCGTCCGAATCCCCGAGGGGGCTTGGTTGAGCTCTGTCACCCGCTGAGCCACTCCCAGAAGTTTCATTGGCCGGGGGCATCGGGGCAACCGTCCCCAGTGCCCCCCAACGGGCTGAATGGACACGTCAGGTTCAGAACTGCGAGCCCAGGGAGTAGGCTGGGCTGGAGAGAAGTCACCCTTGCCCTTCTGTGGCCCCAGAACTTTGTGCAGGAACATATAGGCTCCTTACACGTCTGGATGGGCCTCAGTGATGCCGACGGAGTCTGGAAATGGGTGGATGGGACGGACTATGCGACCAACTTCAAGTGAGTGTGGCCTGGCTTTCTGTGACCCTCTGCCCCCTTCAGCTCCTGCCCCTCCGGGGTCTGACCCTCAGTCCCTTGTCCCCGAGCCTGGGTTCTGGGCCCTCTGGCCATTGTCCTCTCTCCGCAGGAACTGGAGGCCGGGCCAGCCGGACGACTGGCATGGGCACGGGCTGGGCGGGGGCGAGGACTGTGCCCACTTCCACCCCGACGGCTGGAACGATGATGTCTGCCAGAGACCCTACCGCTGGGTGTGCGAGGCCCGCCTGGGCGTGGCCGGCTAGCGCGGTGGCCGGGCGCTGCCCGCGGGCCACCCGGCCACCAAGCTGCAGGGAGTGGGAGGGGGCCTTCCCCTGAGACCCCTGATAGGACCCCATGGGACAGGACTGAGCCCTGGGAGTTTGGGTCACTGCCACCATTTTGAATGTTACCCTCCTTGGTGTTCAAAAGACCATCTAGACTTCCTTCAGGTGTTTGTTTGTTTGTTTTAATTTCAGCTTTACTGAGGTATAATCGACCCACCAAACTGCAAGGTGTTTGAGGTGTGCATCATTGCGATTTGATGTTCGTATACACTGTGAAAGGGTCCCCCGTGTGGTTAATCACCTCGTGGATCCATCGTGTGTGTGTGTGTGTGTGTGCGCGCGCGCTCGAGAACACGCGAATCCTACTCTCCCGGTAAATGCCAATTATACGATAGTGTTCACGACTAGCGACCGTGAGATCCTCAGACCTTAGTCATCCCGTAGCTACGACTTTGTTTGTTTGTTTTTTTTTTAATTTTTTTTCCAACGTTTATTTATTTTTGGGACAGAGAGAGACAGAGCATGAACGGGGGAGGGGCAGAGAGAGAGGGAGACACAGAATCAGAAACAGGCTCCAGGCTCTGAGCCATCAGCCCAGAGCCCGACGCGGGGCTCGAACTCACGGACTGCGAGATCCTGACCTGGCTGAAGTCGGACGCTTAACCGACTGCACCACCCAGGCGCCCCATCGTAGCTACGACTTTGTACCCTTTAACCAACCTCTCCCTACCAACCACCTCACTCCCCAGCCCCACCAGCCTACTCTCTGTTTCTATGAATTTGATCTTTTCTTTTTGTTTTTTGATTCCACATATAAACGGTACCATGCGGTATTCGCCTTTTCTCTGGTTCATTTCACTTTGGCGGAACGCCCCCAGGGTCTACCCCTATTGTTGCAAACGGTAGGCTTCCCTTCCTTCTCACGGCTGAACACGGTTCCGTTATATTATCTACACCACATCTCTATCCGTTCATCCGTTGACGAACATGCAGGCTGTGTCCATATCTTGGTTATTGTGACGACCGCTGCGGTGAATATGGGGGTGCGGATATCTCTTTCGTACTCTGTTTTCATTTCCTTTGGGTATATGCCCAGAGGTGACACCGACGGATCACGTGGTCATTCTATTTTGAATTTTGGGGGCAACCGTCATCCTATTTTCCACGGTGGCCTGCACCGATCCACATTCCCACCAACAGGGCACGATGGCCCTCTTTCTCCACAGCTTTGCTGACGTAAGTTTTTGTGTTAAACCTTAAAAATCAACCTTATCGAGATATAATCCTCACACGATATAACACACCCACTTAAGGAGTAGAGATGACTTCTGAAACATGTAAATACCTCAGTAACGTCCACGCAATCCAGGTGCGGAGCATGTCCGTCAGCCCAAAGTTTCCTTACGCCCCGAGCCTGCTTCCTTTATCTCCGGGTGCTAATATTTATGATCTGCTTTTTTTCTCTATTGATTGGTTTCGCCGATCCTAGAATTTCACAGTATATTGTTTCGTGAAGCCATATGTATTTCATATTGCCTGATTTTCAGCAAACTTTCTTTTTTAATTGTTAAAACTTGTTTATTTTTGAGAGAGAGAGACAGAGACAGAGACGGAGCACCAGTGGGGGAGGGGGAGAGAGAGAGAGAGAGAGACATAGAATCCGAAACAGGCTCCAGGCTCTGAGCTGTCAGCACAGAGCCTGATGTGTGGCTCGAACCTGGGGACAGTGGGATCGTGACCTGAGCCGAAGTTGGATGCTTAACCGACTGAGCCACCCAGGTGCCCCAATCTTTTTTTTTTTTTCTTTTCAATGTTTATTTATTTCTGAGAGAGAGAGCGGGGAAGGGGCAGAGAGAGAGGGAGACACAGAATCCGAAGCAGGCTCCAGGCTCCGAGCAGTCAGCACAGAGCCCAAAGTGGGGTTTGAACTCACGGACTGTGAGATCATGACCTGAGCTGAAGTCGGACGCTCAACGGACTGAGCCACCCAGGTGCCCCTTCAACAATCTTAAAATAGGAAAATGGAGAAAGTTAGGTGAGGCCTTGGAGAGTCCTATGTTATCGTAAAACGGCATTTCCTTTTTACATACAGTTGAGTTCAATTCTTTTCTCTTGCTTAAAAGCTGCATAAACCTAGGGTGATTAAAAAAAAAAGGCAATTATTTAATTTCTTTGAAGAGCCCAGAGTTGGGGAAATGTTGCTTAGATGCCCAGGTGTATTGGTTAGCTATTGCTGTGTAACATCCATCCCAATGCTCAGTAGCTTAAAACAATAAACATCTATTATAGCTCATGAGTCTAGAGGTCATCTGGATGGTTTCTGGTCTGGCCAGAGTCGCCCACGCATTTGTGGTCAGCTGGTGGGTTGGCTGGGAGCTGGCTGGTCTAGGATAGCCTCACTCCCATGCCTGACATTTGGTTGGCTCTGGGCTGGGACAGCGTGGACGTCTGGATCGTGTTAGGCTGGTCTGGGCTTCTTGGCACAGTGTTTGGGCTGGTTTCAAGAGAGTAAGCGGAAGAGTACAAGAACTCTGGACTCTCAGTTCTGGAAACGAAGCATCTCTTCTGTTTCAGGCTATTGGCCAAAGTAGATCACAAGGCAGCCCACGTTCAAGGAGGTGGAAAATAGGGCTTTTGATTGAAGGAGCTGCAAATCCTATCGTGGAGAGGACAGATACCGTGATGGGCGGAGATTGCTGTTTTTGCGATCGATCTAGCTCACCATCTCAGCCACAAAGAGCCAACATCTCACTAAGGACTCCCACGAAAAGAGAGGGCAGGATCCATTGATTGCTAGATTCCCTCCACCGAGAAATCTGCCTGCACATAGGAGGATTTCTTTATTTTTTAAATATTTTTTTAATGTTTATTTACCCTATTTCATTTTTTTCAGAGGGAGAGAGACAGAGCATGAGCAGGGGAGGGGCAGAGAGAGAGGGAGACACAGAATCCGAAGCAGGCTCCGAGCTGTCGGCACAGAGCCCGCTGCGGGGCTCGAACCCGCGAACTGTGAGGTTGTGACCTGAGCCGAAGTCGGACGCTTAACCCACTGAGCCACCCAGGTGTTCCAGGAGGATTTCAATTAGTATTAATTAAAGTCAAAGAGGGTGGTGTCAAAGGAAAGGTATGGGAAGGGCCAAGTTTAGCTCTGGGGAGGCAGCCCGCTTCCACTCCTCCCTGCCCGCATCACTTGAAAATCATCAGGCTGGAGCCAGAGGGGTCTTGGTAGGAAGTGCTCTGAGGACAGCAGGAAGTGATGGGGTCCAGAGGGCACCGCCCAGGGTGGAAGAGGTTACATAAGGAGCATCGGTACCCAGCTGGTTCTGTGGGCACCAAATACTGCGACCCAGGGCGGCCAAACGCACAGAACATTAAAACAACACCAATAATATTGCAAATATATTGCAAAAAAGAGTCTGAGGCTTAATGGACTGAGCCACCCGGGTGCCTCTTTTCAGTTAATGTCTTTCTCCACCGCTTGGATTTTCTAACTGCATAAAGCGTATTTTTTTTTTTTTAATTAAGAAAGACCAACAAACATATGACATTGAAGAATACTAGTGAGGGGGCACCTGGGGGGCGTCAATCGGTTGAGGGCTCGACTCTTGATCTCGGCTCAGGTCACGATCTCACGGTTCTTGAGATTGAGCCCTGCTTTGGGCTCTGCCCTGACAGCATGGAGCCTGCTTGGGATTCTCTCTCTCTTTCTCTCCCTCTGCCCCTCCCCTGCTCACATGTGCATGCTCTCTCTCTCTCTCTCTCAAAAAGAAATAAACTTAAAAAAAAAAAAGGAAAAATACTAATTAGAAAATTTCACCAGCTCTCACAAGCCCTCCAAATTTGGAATGAGCGAGTCAAGGTCATGCTGTAACTGTCACCCCCCCCACCCTGCCCCCCGCAGCAAAGACAAAATCAAGTACAGCCTGATTGGGATGCGGCAGTGTTTCCAGAGTCACAAAGAGGAGGCTGTCCCAGCTCTGAAAAGTCAGAATCCTTGGAGGGGGCTTGGTTAGATGAGGGTGTACAATTGGTTGTAGGTTCTGAATATTAAGACTATCCATGTCCAGGGGCACCTGGCTGGCTCAGAAGAACGTGCCACTCTTGGTCTTGGGGTTGTGAGTTCGAGTCCCACGTTGGGTGTAGAGATTACTTAAAAATAAAATCTTAATTTTTAAAAATTTTATTTTAGGAAGAGAGCAGGGGACGGGGGCAGAGGGAGAGAGAGAGAGACTCCCAAGCAGGCTCTATGGTCAGCACAGAGCCCAACCTGGGGCTCAGTCCCACGACCCTGGGATCACGATCCGAGCCCCAAATCAAGAGTTGGATGCTGAACCGACTGAGCCACCCAGGTGCCCCCAAAATAAAACCCGACTCTTGATTTCAGCTCAGGTCATGATCTCATGCTTCGTGGGTTCGAGCTCTGCATTGGGCTCTATGCTGAGAGTGCAGAGCCTGCTTGGGATTCTCTTTATCTCTCTCTGTCTGTTTCTCCCAAAACCGCAAACACACTTAAATGATTTTTTAAAAAGTCAATGTCCAGAAAGCAGGCAGGGACTAGGAGGAAGTACAAATACCCAATGGCATTGGAAATTTCCCATGCTGGCTCTCTAACTTTGCAAGCAAACCCTCTGTATTCAGAGTTACACAAGACCGTCTTCTGAAGAAGGACTTTGGTTCGAAAGAGAGAAAACTGCCCTCTGGTGATTATGTAAGCGTCTCTGAGTTGCTTCCGGAAACAAGGAGGCTTAGGTAAGGAGGTGATGCGCGACACCTGTTTCTTTGGACCAGTTTGAACCCCTATCAGAATCCTGTATTGGAAGGACTCTTTGGTTATAAACTACAGAAAAATCTCCGGGTTTAGGTAATGCAAAAAGACCATTTGTTCTACGAGGGAGTCTCACACAACCTGTTAAGGGCCGAATTGGGTGCTCCCAAAAAGAGATGTTGAAGTCCTAACACCGGGACCCGTGCCTGTGACCTTCTTTGGAAATAGAATGGCTGCGGATGTAAGCAATTTAGATGAGGCCACAGTAGGGTACGGTGAGTCTTTAACCCAATATGCCCGCTGTCCACATCAGGAGAGGAGAGGCCCAGACACCCAGGGGAGAAAGCCACGTGGCCACCCAGGTGGCAGGTCAAGGATTGCCCACCAACCACTGGCAGCTGGAGATTGGGGAGGAAGGCTCCTCGCCTCCAGGCTTCAGAGGGAGCGCGCTGACACCTGGAT